AAGAATCAAGACCATCAAAAACAAAAGAGAAATTATAGGAAAATCCCAAGCCTAATGTTATCAAAAGGTGACAATGAGTTATATTAGTTTACCAAGAAGCAGAAAATATAAACTGTAAAAGTGGCAGACATGTTAGTTACAGTCACACCCAAAGCATAAACAAGGCAACAGTTTTTCAAAAACTGAAAAACGGGTGGCTAAACACGAGGAGGTAATTAAAAAGAAAGTATTACCTTAAGGGACCAAAGCTTGTGTACTGAATTATCCATTTATTAGACAAACAAAAATAGGGAAAAAACTAATGGCTTTAGTTGTCCTAGGAGCTGAGTGCACCCCCATGCATGGAAATCCTGCAAGATTCCAAGAATCCACAATATATATTGCTGGCCCTCGAGGTTTTAGTTCCCTGGAAATAACAACAGCCCTAAAAGACATTAATTTATTAAATTTGAAGGATGGGGAGAGGCTTGCTTCCTGTACAAGTGATTTCAGTAAATGGACTCTACTTTAACCCCTTTATCAGAATAATGTTTGCTTTTATAAATATCTTTTCCTACAGCTGTTATTGTTAAAAAAGGTGGTTGTTCCTCTTGAGGAGACCTAGGCAGTTTCTGAGAAGCAATAATTTAATTATTACTACTGCTTATTTGTTGTGCACCTCTAAGAATGCATTGCATTTGAGTTTTTACCAGCAGCAAGAATCTAGCATTGGCTCTAATATCAGGCTCATTGACAAAAGGAAAGAGGCTGAGACTAGAAGAATGTTCAAGCTGCTGTCATAGTTTTTGGCTGTAGAATCAGTTCACATATTGAACATGCATAGGGTTCCCCCCCCTTTTATTTTGAGAAGTTATTGGGGAATTAAATAATATTAAAGTTCTTTGTAGTTGAATTGTTTAATGCCTTTAGCTAAACAGGAAATGCAATGAACTGTTCCAAGTTTCATCTCAAGGTTACATTCTATATACCCTTGTATTGTATTGTTGTGATTATGTTAATCTTTGATGATTTATCTTTACTGAGAAATATTTAATTGACCTGTAAACACATGAATCCAAGGGCTGGATACAGGTAAAAAAAATAATCATTTTAGAGTCCTACGGTCAGGACATCATCACACCATGGTTGGCAATGGTATAGCTGAAAAGAAAATTCTTTCAGTAAGGTAAAAGTTTTAGTTCAATAAGCTAGTTCTTTTCAAGTTCCAAGTCAAGGAAATCTTTTAGAACTAACAGTCTGAGTCATACATGATGGATGTACATAGGATCTATGATAAATTGACTTTATTAAAAAAAAGTAATCTATAGAAAGGTGCAGAAGTGTAATGTTCTCTACTGGAAAAACAATTGTTGGTAGTTTACTATAAACAGGTAGACCTTGACTTGCAACCATTCGTTTGGTAACAAGAGCACTGAAAAAAGAGACTTATTACCATTTTTCACTCTTACAACTGTTGCAGCATCCCCATGGTCATGTGATCAAAATTAGGATGCTTGGCAACTGGCCTGGGGTAATGTGATCACTTCTTGCAAACTTCGGACAAGCAAAGGCAATAGAGAAGCCAGATTCATTTCACAAAGGTGTTACTAACTTAACAATGGTACTGGTTCACTTAATTATTGCAAGAAAAATCATAAAATGGGGCAAATCTCATTTAATAACTGTCTACTTAGTAACAGAAATTTTGGATTCAACTGTGGTTGTAAGTCAAGGACCACCTATACCCCAAGAGGTTAAGGAAATCAACTCAGTTAGGGTTCAGTGATGATAAACTATGTTTGCCTCCCCTTTACAAATAAATTTGTCCCCTCCACTTTGGTTTTAATATACAAATGCCATTAAAGGCATTCAAAAAAGCAATCTGGCTAAATCTCTGAACCTCTAGATCTGTGGCAAAGCTGCATCATGGGTGGACTGTTCCCGGGTCCAGTTTGGTTGTAAAGAGAATTGAGATATTAAACAGTATACTAGGCCCAGATTGCAGAAGAAAACTTCAGGCTATCTTGTATAATAGAACAATAATAATGTGTCTATTGAGAGAGGGAATCAGATTTCCCAGCTAATTTTAGAAAAAATTATGATTTGCTCAATAAAAGATAATGGGCCGGAAAATAATACTTGAAATATCAGGGAAGATTTACACCTACAGAAAAGAAAGTCTGGTCCAAAAAAATAAGATGGTAAACTAACAAAGAAGTGCTATTACTTTTTTAAAAACTACTTTCTATCTCCTAGATGAACATCTTTTTTGAGCCTGCCATGTATTTTTGATTTGCAGATAATTGGGGTCACAAATACATCGATGCCTCATAAAATAATCATTATAATTGTTAGTCTATTTTACCAATACATGGATATTAGTCCTTGAACACAATTGCTGATGTCCTCATGATAGTAAACCAGGGCTCTCCATCTGCTTACACCTGCTCAAAGAGTAATGTGTGCTATGAAGTAAAAATGCTGTTTTACCATGCATCCAGTTTAAGAAAAGAAAGCAAGCATACTCTCAGAAGTTGCTAAAAAGAGTTTTATAAAGTGTGGTCAGAATGCAGCCAGTTATGACCAATAGTTTAAAACATAACATCCAGTAATTAGTTTTCTGGTGGCTATTATATATAGATGTATTTTGTATATTAAAGTTAAATGTATAATTTATTACTGGGAGATTTGGAATTCATACAAAGTAAAAATATGAAAGAAAATTAAAATATGTGAGGAGTTGAATGTAGTGGCAATGCAGAAGAACATTGTTATTTTAAGTTTAGTGACATGTTTTGATTTCTCCTTCATATTAAGAGAAGTTTAGAAGTTTAGAGGTCATTCTGAGCTAACTAGCTTGTTTTTCACTCTTGTTTGCTGTACCAAGAGGGAATCTTCAGTTTCAGAGCTTTTCCCCTTAAGAAAATCTCACACTTTTGATTCCAATCCTTAGTATCATATGCTAGCCAGTCAAGGTGAGATCTTGCAGTCCTGACCAATACAAGGCCATGGTGTCCTGACCTTGGTTTTGATAGAAATAGCAGGGTAGTTAATTGTTGTAAGCTTTTGCACGTAACCTACAGCTGGAAAGTGTGAAAACGGGCTTCTCTTAGAGTACCTCTGGTGTTGTTATTAAGAAGCTCCTGGCAGCTTGTAAGAGAGTGAAATTCTACCTTGTTTGGTATGTATGCTTTTCATGTTATGCTTTTAAATCTGTATACTTAGATAATAATAAAGCTTAAGATCCTTTTATTTAGTGGAATGTTTAACATCTCTGGATTCAAATGTCCTGACATTTGGCAAAACAATCATTGATCTTTCACTAGTGTACAACCCAGAGGAATTTACACTTGATTCAGAATGGCGAGTGCACTACAATTGAGCTTTATTCTTCAAATTCAGATGAAACAAAATTACAAGTTAGGCTAGTCAACAAACTAAGTTATCAAGTCTAGGTTGTAATAGCATATAATTTGCTTAAATGATTTTTAGCATTTTAAGTCATCGTATTTCCAAACTAAAGAACAGCTGTAGAGATTAAAAAGATGCAGACTAATCAAGAATGCCTTTTAAAAGTTCATTAAAGTTCTTTCTATTGTTATAGAAATTATTTTAACCAGTTCAAACCTATTGCTGCCAAACTGCAATCTTATTTATTAAATTTGTGTGCCACCCTTCTTAACCTACACAAAGTTTATTTTGGATTTTTTTTTTAAAGAATAAGAAAACTAACATTATCATAAGTTTTGAATGTCTTGCTATCACTATCACTTTTTCTGGCTTGTGAAAAAGTTTTTGCCCACCAATTGATTACATCAGCTATATTGTATTTCCCCCCCCACTAAATAATTCAGGATTATTACTTGATGATTGACAGCTACTGTTGGGAATTTGCTATGGCACAATCACAAGAATATTACACCAATTGATTTCCCTCTGCAGGGAACAGAAATTGTGAATTTTGGATTTTAATACTGAGCTTTTGGGAAATGTAGTCCTATCCTTTGTAGTTTGACTCACATTCTGAGTATTTCAGTCATTTTTGTGATTAAAATCTGTCTCCAAAGTATCAGGTGACGCTAGACACTAACATCCATAGCCTTCTCTAAGCTTGACATTTCTAAAATCAGCGAGGCTATGTCCCATGGTAACCCACCCTGCGAATGAATCTACCACCGGATAACACAGATCAGCATAAACGAGGGCATCGCGCAGACGTTCCAGAGAACTCTAATACACAAGGTACAGTAAAGCCCCTAACTGGTGGCATCTGGTCTGCTTTGCGCACGCGCTAACTCTGCTGAGAACTACAAATCCCGGTATGGATTGTGCACCTTTATAGCCAATCACAAACCTTTTAAAAAAATAAAAACCTAAAACGCAGCCTTGAATTCGGACGGCAAGGTATAGCACTTTACCCTTTTTTTAAAAATTCCACAAGGGCTGCAACACACAAGTAACCTAAATTGGCACAAGGAAGATATGGATCCGTCTCGACCAATAATTAGAGGGTACAAGACCTTTGGTAAAAAGGGAGAACAGAATCCGGCGGCGCTTTTTTCCCGCGGTTTAAAGAACAGAAGTTGGCTCGCGCTTTCTTTCGGGTTCCTATTTCATTCGTTCTCGACTTCGCTGAAGCATGTCAATCAGCAACAAATTCGCTTGGGAGATAGGGGCGGGCTGAGACGCCAAGCCCTTCGGTGTCGCCCCACCCTTAATCCCGCCTCCCCTTTCCTTTTTGCTATGGGGAGAACGCGGCCGAGAGAAGAGCAAAAACGAGCCCCTTCGCTTGGTTTCTTACTCCTAGCGCCTGCTGGGGGGGGGGCAACCTTTCCCTCCGATTAGCTGTTTTCGGCCTTTGCCTACAAGCTGACCTGTTTTCAAGCCGGAATCCGGCTCGCGCCATGCTCCAGCCTAGCCCCGCCTCGCTCCTCCCCTCGCCCTCCCTCCCTCTCCCCGCCCCTTCTTCTCCTTCAGGCCAGCTGCCGCTTGCTTCGCTTGGCTCCTCAGTGGGGGGTCAGCCTAGGCATCCCCCGGCCCCGCCCTCCTCCCTCCTCTGCTCCCTCCCCCCCTTCGTCCGGCTCTAAGTTGTCAATCAGGCGCCAGGGCTGAGATAGGCGACGGCAGCGGGCGGAGACGGGCAGCTACGCCACAGCCCAGCGGCGGCCATTCGTGGAAAAATAGGCCGACCTGCTCCTCCCAGCTCCGGCAGCGACCGGCCTTCTCTCGCCGCTACCCCCAGCACCCCGCCCTCGGTCCCTCCCCTCCCTCCTCCTCGAGCCGCGCCTCAGCGGGCGTTAATGCGGGATGAGCGGTACGTAGCCCCCCTCCTTCCCTCCCGCCTCCGCTGCCTTCCCGCGCCATCCCACCCTGCCGCCTCGTTCTTCCAAGCCCCTTTCTCTGCCCTCCCTCCTTTTTCTCTCTTCCATTCCCTTTTTCTTTCCCAACCCTCCTCCTGTGTACATCCATCCATCCTTCCTTCGCTTCTGTTTCCTCCCATTTTCTCCTCCCCTGCACCTCCCTTCTCCTGCCCCTAAAGCATCCTGGGCCACTCAGTAGCCGTGGATGCTTTAGGGGCAGGAGGAGGGGGAGGGCTGTGGGTGGTTTTTTTCCCCTCTGCCTTACAGTCTCCGATAGCAGAAACCAATCAAAACTCCCCTTTCTAGGCGTTCATCGCCAGCCCCTGTAGGCCGGGTTTAAAACCACGTTTCTTAAGTGCCTCTTTTCCACTAGAGAAGTGGACAGTAGCTTTCAACTAGCAAAAAGCATGGAGGACCAGGGACCGGTTAGAACGTTCTGATTATTTTCTGTGCAAAAATAGGCGTGCAGGATGATGCTTAATAAATGTTGTTTCTTTTTTTTTATTTTTTTGAAGATCAAAAGAAGGAGGAAACTATGCCTTCCGAGGGAGAGAAATCTCCTGAGGCTGAGAACAACAATAAGAACAAAAAAACTGGAGCTTCTCAGGTAAAATGTCTAAAAGAGTGGAGGAAAACAAGAGAGATGGAGGGAGATGGCAAACATTACTTACATGTATTTCCAGATGGGATGGATTTTTATCAAAATTTAGAGGTTCTTGAAAGACTTCAGAAGAAGAAGAAATTATTAGCTAAGTGGGTAATTTCCTAGTTAACACCTTTCTATAACTTTATGGTTAGGTAATTTTTTAAATAATATGTAGAATGCTGTTATTGCTACTCTTTTATAGTTTAGGTTCTAATACACATAATATTTTTGTTAGGATTCTCAGCCCTCCCCTCTGGCTCTGTTGGCAGCAACCTGCAGTAAAATAGGAACTCCTGGTGAGAATCAATCAACTGGACAACAGATTATTATAGATCCGAGTCAGAGTTTGGTTCAGCTTCAGAGTCAACCACAGCAGTTAGAATTAGTGACAACTCAACTTGCTGGAAATGGTTGGCAACTTGTTGCAGCTCCTCCTGCTTCAAAAGAAAACAACAACCAGCAAACATCTTCTGTTATTTCAACTATAGCAAGTCCCTCCAATAGCAACAATGGAAATGTATCTCCCTCAAAAACTAAATCAAGTAATTCTTCTGGAGTAACTCCAGGACAATTTCAAGTCATCCAACTTCAGAATTCAGGTGGTAGCGTTCAGTACCAAGTGATTCCACAAATTCAGACAACAGAAGGTCAACAAATTCAGATAAATCCTGCTAATGCCACAACTCTGCAAGATATACAGGGTCAGATTCAGCTTATTCCTGCAGGGAATAATCAAGCTATCATTGCAACTGCAAATAGAACAGCTTCTGGAAATTTTATTGCTCAGAATTTGGCAAATCAAACAGTGCCTGTCCAGCTTAGGCCTGGTGTTTCTATTCCATTGCAGCTACCTATTGCTGGTACTCAGGCTCAAGTTGTAACTTCATTGCCTATAAATATTGGGGGAGTGACTCTAGCATTACCTGTAATAAATGTTGCAGCAGGTAGTAGTTCTGGACAAGTTGTCCAATCCACTGATAGTGGGCTATCCAATGGAAACCAGCTGTTGTCCACACCTGTCACAACAACTTCTGTTAGTGCTATGCCTGAATCTCCTACTTCCACTTGCACAACCACAGCCTCAACAGGATTAACAGGCAGTGAAACATTAGTTAATACTGGAGAAACAGGCCAGTATGCAAGCACAGCAAATAGTTCTGACACTAGTACTGAAGAAGCTCAAACTACCACATCTGAAACAGAGGCACAAAATTCTAGTCAGCTTCAATCCAATGGATTGCAAAACGTACAGGATCAGTCAAATTCACTACAACAGGTTCAAATAGTAGGTCAGCCTATTCTCCAGCAGATCCAGATCCAACAGCCTCAGCAGCAGATCATTCAAGCAATTTCTCCACAATCTTTCCAGCTTCAGTCAGGACAAACTATTCAGGCTATTCAGCAACAATCATTGCAAAATGTTCAGCTGCAAGCAGTGAGTCCAACACAAGTACTCATTAGAGCACCAACTTTAACCCCATCAGGACAAATCAGCTGGCAGACAGTACAAGTCCAAAATCTTCAAAGTCTTTCAAATCTCCAAGTTCAAAATGCTGGGCTACCCCAGCAATTAACTATTACCCCTGTGTCTTCAAGTGGTGGTACAATTGCGCAAATAGCACCAGTAGCTGTTGCTGGCACACCAATAACACTTAATGCTGCTCAGATTGCTTCAGTGCCTAATCTTCAAACCGTAAGTGTGGCCAACTTGGGTGCTGCAGGTGTTCAAGTGCAAGGAGTGCCAGTCACTATTACAAGTGTTGCAGGTAAGTCCTATCGTTTTGCAAGCATTACAGTACAGTAGTCTTAACAGTTCATTTAGTGATTGTTCAAAGTTACAACCAATTGTTTTTCCAGGAAGAACTATTCATTATGAATAAATAATCCTGGAAAAACAATCCTGCTTATGAATGAGAAATGAATTAATGAGTTCCATTTTGAATTGAGTTAGTGATACTATAAATAGTATAAGAGTCAGTCACCATTTCTTAATTAAGAAAGTGATCTACAAAGTATGGAAGAGATGCATTTTCTTTACCTGCATTGTAGATAATAGCTATGCATGTATTTAAACATGGTCTTCTCTTTTGGTAAGAAAAATATTTGACTCAAAAATTGACATTTTTTTAAGAGAATCAGATGAATTCTCTCTAAAAGAATTTATAAGAATTATTTTGTCATTTCTCCTATAAATGCAGTGATTAAAAACTTTATTACTTAATGTAAGTGATAGTTTTACTTTTTAAAAAATCCACTGCCAAAATATGTTTATTTATAATTACTTTAAGGAAAAAATAGTGGAAGAAAAGCATACATAATTTCAAGCACAGGTTTTATTTGACTATTACATTTTAACTGCATACATTCTTTCACTTTTTACATAAAGACATTATGTAAAAAGTTTATTTAGTTTTAGACTATAATACAGTACATTTTGATCTAGTAAGCAGTTTTGAATTTTATTACATTTCAAAAGATTGCTGATACTGTGAATTTATTATATAATGTGAATAATGATTACTAAAATCCTCATCTATTCCTTTTTACTCATAACATAGGAAGATAATTTTGGATTGAATGCAAAACAGAGATTTAATATCTACATTATATGTACCCATTCTCGTTTTATAAGAATGTGACTAACCATGATTTTGCTTCTGCCTTGCCTCACTCCACAATTATTAGTAAACATCTTTCAGAACTGTCTTTTCCATCAGTATATTGGTGAGATGTCTTATCAGTACAACACTGTCGTTTTTGCAAATGAGATCCAGAAATTCATATGGCTCCCATCCTTAAATTGTTCAGGAAACTATTAACGACTTGGTTGTTCTCCCAGGCTTTGGATGACAGTGATTGGGAGGGCTTCTACATTTTCCCTGTTTTGTTTTGATTTGATTTGAGTATTTTGCTCTTATGCTCATTTGTATCATATGTTTTTTACTCTTTTGTAACATTTATATACTTTCATATATAAAGTGTTAACTGTAAGCTATCCTGAATAAATGAATGAATTAATGTCTTTCAAGCACAGTTTGAGTTAATCATTTTTGGAGCCTTCATCTGTCATAATTGTACATAACAATAGTAAGCAAAAGCAACAGTGTTCTCTTAGTGTATGAAGTAAGAACAACTTGAATAAAATTATGTACTTTTAAAAACTATGTTAATGAACTTCAATAAAATATAACACTGTCTACAATATGGAATAACAATATGGAAAATAAGCTGTGTATTTTCTCCTAACATAAATGTGCTCTCAAACATAATATAGATTTGAAACCATGTATGTGAAGTGAATACAGTAGAACTTTGAAGTTTTGCTCATAAATGATAAGATAATAAAAAGGTACATAATTTGGTTTATTCCTTATAGGCCAGTGGTGGCGAATCTATGGCATGCATGCCACAGGTGGCACACAGCCGTCCCTGTGGACACGCATGTCATTTCTGGGCCCCTCCCCCTCTCCACACATGGGCAGTCCAGGAACAGTTGCAAGAGCTGGTCGGGTTGAGGGAACGTATAAAAGGAGCAGTTTTGGCAGGAGAGTGAGTGAAATCAGAGCCGCCATCTCCCTTCCGCACTGCAGCCCCATGGCATGAGCGGAGACGGCCGGAAAGGAGCCCTCATCTGGTGCGGGTCCTGTCTACAGGGTGGCTCTGAGCCCCTTGACTAGCCAACCACACAGAGAAGCAGGAGATGGCGGCAGTGATCCCTGCATCTCCAAGTCCGGCCGGCCACAGATCTGGAAGCAAAGCTATGCCGACCATTCTTGCGCTGGTGGGAGCAGTGGCGGGGGAAGGTGAGCTGTGGCAGACGCCCACCCCTTCCCACCCAGAGGCGCACATGGGATAATGTGGCAGCAGCGGCAAAGGGTGCCCGCATGCCAGATCCTGTGTTTCCCGCGCCGCCACCAGCGCGAGGATGGTCGGCAGAGCTTTGCTTCCGGATCTGCTGCCTGACACCATCGGCCCCCCATACACACACAAGCCAGCGAGCGCATGGAGGCTGACAGTGTCCGTCAGCAGCCATAGCATGCTGGCTGTCCTGCATAATGGTGGACTGGCCACAGAGCCCCATCGGCGCAGGCGGAAATCGCTCTGGGATAGCCTGAAGAAAGCCTTTGCCCGGCCTGGGCGCATCCACTTGACGGATCTGACGGGTGGCTTTTGCTGCTGCTCTGACTGGTCAGCCCTGCAGAGAAGCAGAAGGGGCAGGTAGTGCGCAAATCTGCGTCGAGCTGCTACTGAGCAGTCGAGGTGGCTCCAGACCCCTGGCTACCCCTCCACCTCCTCCTTCCCTGCATGGCTGCCGGTCAGAGCAGCAGCAGAAGCCACCCCCATCAGATTTGTCGAGTGGATGCGCCCAGGCCAGGCAAGGGCTTCCTCCCCCCCATAAATCAGAGAGAGGTAAAACCTCTCTTATTACGGCTTAGTTCACAACCATAATAAGTTGCTCCTTCTGAGCAAAGGCACATGAGCTGGGTTTGTACCTCGACCTAGATTTTTGGGTGGAGGGGGGGAAATAGCAAGCCCCCGGGTGCTGATTCAGCAAAAAAATTAAGGGACTGCTGCGACCTGCCTCTTGTTCCAGCCGCTGCAGATGATGGAGCTGCCAACACCAGGCAGAAGAGCGGGGCCCTGAGGCAGGGGGGTGAATCTCACTCCCTGGGCTGCGAAGCGTAGAGCAATTGGGATAAGGTGCAGACAATATGCGGGCAAGAGAATTGAGAATGAGAAAGATGCGGGTGGAAATGGCTCCGGGACACTTACCTCAGGGCTCCGCTCTTCTGCCTGGCTGCTAGGAAAAAAATTATCGGGAACAAAGGTTTTTTATTATTATTATGATTGTGAACTAAGCCGTAATAAGGAGTTTTACTTCTCACAGATTTATGGGGGGGGGGGGAGAAAGCCCTTGCCTGGCCTGGATGCATCCACTCGACGGATCTGATGGGGGTGGCTTCTGCTGCTGCTCTGACCGGCCAGCCATGCAGGGAAGCAGGAGGAGGTGGAGAGGCAACCGGGGTTCTGGAGCCACCTCGGCTGCTCACTTGCAACTGACACAGCAGATTTGCACACCAGCTGCCCCTTCTGCTTCTCTGCAGGGCTGATTGGTCAGAGCAGCAGCAGAAGCCACCCCCGTCAGATCCATCGAGTGGATGTGGCCAGGCTGGGCAAAGGCTTTCTTCAGGCTATCCCAGAGCTATTTCCACCCACGCCGATGGGGCTCTGTGGCCAGTCCGCCATTATGCAGGACAGCCAGCATGCTGTGGCTGCTGACGGACACCGTCGGCCTCCATGCACTCACTGGCCTCTCTGTGTGTGGGGGCTGATGGTATCAGGCAGCAGCTGCTCCAGCCCCTGCCTTGCCTTGCCCCACGGCAGTTGGCATACCCACCCTGCTTCTCACCTCACGCCACAGGACGAGCCTCCAGTCCACTGCCCCACCTGCCAGAGATCCCTGGATCTTCCCCAACCCTGCACGGCCCCCACAAGTGTCCCCACAAACACCATCGAGGTGGCCACACCCACTGTGGCCACACCCATCCAATCAGCTGTGACCACTGAGGTCACGCCCACCCAGTTAGCCACACCTACCCAGCACGCAGCAATAAATAAATGGGTTTTGGGTTGCGGTTTGGGCACTCGGTCTCTAAAAGGTTCGCCATTACTGTTATAGGCCTTTAATGGCGGTATATTGTTTTTGTCCTTTTGATTTTTAATGACATTGTTGTGCTTCATTACTTTTTAAAAGTTAAACGCTATATTGGAAGTTCTTAATATCAAACAGCAAAGAGGAGTAATTATTGAGAGGGTAGGAATCTTTAATAATGCAGGATTTCATAAATATAGCTGGAGAATATAATTTAATAGATAACATTAGCTACAACCATAGTGTGTTTATAATTTCAGGCACTGACTTGCAGCAAAGTTCTTTAAAAATACTATGTTTGTATATCTTTTAATATAGACAGATTTCACAATCTGAGAAATCTAAAGATTTGAAATAGAGAAATGATTACTTACCAAGAATAACAATAACAACATTAAGATCATGCAGTATATTTTATGAATCTAGGTCTTTAAATATTATATTCTGGTTAGTCTGATTACTATAAATTTGCTGGTTTTAAATATTTTATACAAAGATCATATGCTCATTTTCCTAGCGTTCCATTAATTGACTAAACAAAAAGTATAAATGGTCTTTGATAAAAATGCTAAGCATTCTATCTAATTAGGTATAAACTTCTAATATTTTACTCCACGTGAATAAAGAGAATCATTTCTGAGACAATTCCAGTAAATACAGTAACACAAGTCTCTAAAAAAATGATATTTTAAATTGACACAAGTACATTTTTCACTACTCATCTACTTAAAAGCAATGCAATAATGAGAAGGGTTACTCGAAGTTTTTAAAATTAGTTTTAAATTTGATATTTAGCAGTCTGAAATTATAATCTATCATTACCCCATAGCCAATCATTTACTATTCTCAGTATTTTCCATGTGTAAACAAATTACTTGATTTTTTAATGTGCTTTGGTGTTTATTGCTTATGTTGATTTATAGTATATTATTTTCTCTTCAGATTTCAGTGCAACATTATAGTTTTAACCAAACTAATTGTGATGTTGAGTGATGTCTTAAATGTTCAAATTAAATCAATTGGAGAAAAATTCAAAATTATCTTAAGAACATATTGGAAATTATTGGAAATGGAAAAAGATTAGTGTCCATCTTTGTTCAATATAAGCATGTA